GGGGGGGAGAGAGAGAGAGAGGAGAGAGAGAAGGGTCAATAGTATACTGAAGATAGAAGATAGTCTACTAAGGAAAAAAGTCACATAATGAGTTAAAATGATTTAAAAAATATGAACTTCAGAACCACTGGACTACATTATGATTTAATCTCCATGCAATTCCAATTTCTGCCAGCTTTTTGGTCATTTTCATTTACAAAGTAAGAGGAAATTATCGACTTTGGCTTAAAAACCAAACTATATTTGAATGTGAAGGAAATTTTGCAGCATAATGCTTCGCCTCCCCCTTTTACCATTTTTGTTCATACTTGAGAGCAAATACCAAAAGATGTTTGAGACACATCACCATGTTTTTCCATCTTAATCAAGACCACCCTTATGTCAAGGTTAGCACAGGAAGTTTTTGCAGAATTTCATACAGCAAGTTTCATTATTTTATTTTATTTTATTTTTGGTTTCCCATCTGGTGTCTGGTAGGAGACCGACTAATCTAGATTCACGCCGCGTAGGGCCCCATTCAGGCGAAAGTATTCCCTACCAAGGATTTTTCCATATCCAAGGCTCGAACCCAAAACCTCTGGTTAAGAGAGGAGCAACCCCATCCACTGCACCACCAGTTCCATTATAATCATTCACTACTACATGTATTCTCTGAAATTATAACAGATACATTGCCATGATATATGCACCTCCCTTTAATATATGTCCACATAATATTAAATCAAAAAAATTATGTATTTGGGGATCAAGGAGAAATAAGAAACTTAAATGCATCCATATAGAGAATGACTCACCTTTCTTACGCCTTGGTGAGATCATTGGAACTCAAAGACCAACTTAGAAAATTACATCAAGAATTGACACCCACTATTTAACTCATGGCATCTTCAATGCTTGTTTTAATTGATTGAGTACTGAAGGGTGCAATCTACCAATGGCTGCATTAAAGGATTCCCCATGAAGAGATGAACAAGTTTGAAGATTGTCTCTCACTGAGTTCTCCAATGAAATCTGGTTTATTGGGTCCGAGAGTTTCATCTATAAAAGAAAAATCTCACTAAGAATCCAATTCAGAAAAGAGTTACATAGCCCTATTCATATATAAGTACTAGCACCAGTTACCTGTCTCCTCCTCAACTCCTTGCTTGGCACATGAGGTTTGCTAGAGCTTACATTATCACTACTGTGGTTTCACATTTTATAATGCAAATGGAGTCTCATCAGTTGTCAAAATCTCAAGAGCCATTAAAGTAAAAAGAAAGATTATCAGACATACCTAGACTCTTCTTCACTTAAATCCTCACTTCCACCCATTATAACACTTGTACATACACTACCAAAAGCATAGAGGTAAGATTAGCATAAACAAAACGTACATATCGGATTAGGATAATGATTAAAAGCAAATACATAAATAAATCTCACGATTACAAATTCAATCAAATACCTCATTATCTGATCAAGTTTATCAAGTACTTGAGGCAACCTCAAAGTCAGAATTATAGAGAGGGCCAAACCAATTGTCTTCTTCTGGAAAGAGGTAACATTGTCAACCTGAGAAAATTTCACAAAACAAAAGACCAACAATAACATAAAAAGTCAGGTGAGGAACACCACACAAAGTTGTTACTTTGTTATCAGAACTAAGTTCAAAGAAAAATTTAAGGCTATACTTCCCCAAACCTTATATAAAAGGATTGAGAAGATATAAGACCACTAAGTTCCAGCCATATAGATTTAACAACATGAACCCACAATAAAGAAGGATAAATAATTTACAGATGATGGCCTTGCTCCTTCATGAACTGGAAAAGGTGATTCTGGATGCTGAAGAAGCAGAAGGGGAAAACAAAAGGGGAGTTGAGGGATCTACGGTCATGTTAGGGTAAAGGAAGGCACAAATCATTGAAGAAAGTTTGGAGGACAATCTCAATCAGTGATGTTGGGTACTATGGGAAGTAATAAATTCTAGGAGTTTCGAAGGTAAGCAAGCTTTGTCTGTGATGTGTGGGCTAGGCGCATGTCACGGGTTCGAACCCTGTCGCAGACAACAGACTGCTATTTAAGTGGAAAATGGTAGAGGGGCGGGTCCATCATCCATTTATTTCGAACCTTGCGCCTTTAACCTTCGGTGATTTCTTGGTTATCAAAAATAAATATAATGTTCGTGTATGTTGGCTTTATGGTGTAAGCTTCAGGAAGTACATGAAGTGCAATATATGGTAGACTTCATTAGCACTTCTCTGGAGTTGTTATTTTATAGAGGTGATCTCTTTCAGTGTTTTTGTACAGGGGATGGCCAACTTTTGTATAGGCCAAATGCCAATTTGGTGATTGGCTCTGATGCATTAACAAAATCTTTTTGTGTTACTAACAAAAGGAATCAAGCATACTTGCTTCCTAAAACTGATAATATTATAGACTATGTAAAAATCAGGAAACTGTCGCAACTCCTATTACTATAGAAGTCATTTATAGCCTAAAGTTCCACATGATTGTTATGTCAAATAGTTCCATCATATACTGAATAATTTCTTTTGATATCTGACATCTTATACTGAATGATACTATAGCCAAAAAGTCTTTTATTCCATAGTAACTAGTTTGTGCTCAAATCCAGTGTAATCAAAAGCAAAAGGCGCAAAAAAAGCTCTAAGGTCTGTTGGGGCATTCAGCACAAATAAAGGTTGGGCTTTAATGAAAAAAGGCACAAACGGAGAAAAAAATACAAATATTTATGTTTAGTCCAAGACTAATAATTATTTTATTTTTTTATGAACTTCCAAGACTAATATTTTTTTTTTTGACAAAGGTAACAGTTTTGTGTATTAATCTTTAGCACTAAAGGCTGGGATCCCAAATTTACATCATGGAGCTACATACAGTTGCGTGTACTTAAAACAAAACTAAACTAGATCCTACTTCATCTTACAAAGGACCTAGGATATCTCTAACCGCTATAGGATCATCTACATACTCCGAACTGCACCAATAGCAAAAAGTGATTATGCAGTTCATTTTAATCCTGTGTAAAGGACTACTAATAATTATAAGCATGAAAGAAAAATATATGAACAAAGAAATGGAAAAAAAAAATATGATAAAGTGAAATATCAATTGTTTAGAGTCGCCTCTTAAGAAGAGGCTCATTGGCAAGGAAAAGTGTCTTAAAATCTTGATGGTGATACTGAAGCGCACATTAAGCGACGCAAAGCGCACATTTTGAGCCTTGCTTCAGGGTCACCTTTGACAACCCAGTGCTCAACTGGGATCAATGGTTAATGCCTCACAAATTTGCACCTTGATACAGCAAGGAGAAATATTTTGATTGAACAGACAAACCAAGAACACACCTTACCATCATAAAGTATCAGCTCAGGTTTTGTAGAGGTTCTAAAGAAAACCATTAATCACAATAATATCTATCAAACTCCAAATTTAATCATTTAACTTACCTTTTCAAGCCACATGTCGACAAGGCAAAGGAGTATGTTTTCTTCACTAGGAAAACCAGATTTCTGAAGGTGTATAGACAGTGATGGATCAGAAGTTAGCTGTGCAAGATAATTAGTGTTCATCACCAAAATCCTTGCCAGCAGTGCTGATGATGATGCTTTTACAGCTGCCTTGGAAGGATCATGATCATCTCCCCCGGTCAGGCACATGATTATTAATTTCTAGCAACATTCATGGAACCACGTGAAATCATGCCATAAAGGAAAAGGTAGACATACACGTTGTAGTGCATAGAGAAAACAGAGAAGACAAAGAAGAAAACTACAGTTACCTGCAGTGTGGAACTGATAAGCTGAGGCACTTCCATCGGGAAACACTGCCACATCATAAAAGTATTAGCACATATCATTCACAGGAAGAACCCTTTTGGGCCTATATTAAATCCACCAATGTTCTAGTCAGAGTTAGTGAGAAGTTTGTACTTAAACCTAGTCTCAATACATTTTCATCTTATCAAAGCTCAAGTTTATAACATGAGAAGTTTGTATTGGAACTTACTTTTGATACATTTTGATCTTATCAAAGCTCAAATTTAGAACAAAGGAATTGAAGGTTTTAAGAATAATATCAACTACTCTTTTCCTCTAAGTTTGCTCAGACTCTTCACTTCTGGTGCTGCACCTGTGTCGACACGACATGGATGTGGGATCCGTGTCCAATTTGGTCAACCGATTATGGGTACTTTGACCAAGATTGATGGGGTAAGTGTGGACGTTTTAATGATTGTATGTAATCAATACAAAAGCTAAGGTGAAATTGCAGAAAATGGAATACCTTTTATATAGAAATTTCTATGTTACTCCTTTTCCGTTAATCTCCTTCCAGGATTCTCCTCAAGTTCTCCCATAATATCTCATAATTTATGTTTTCTAACTCTATTTTTAGATATTTTAATTATATTTAGGTGAATCCCCGCACTTGTATCCCTACATGAATCCATAACCCCGAATCTTAAAAGTTAATCATGAAGGATCCAACATTTAGATCCGCACCCGTATCGGACACCCGCACCCGAGACTGAGCAACTTAGCTTTTCCTTAACTTTTCTCTTATCTAAAGCTCAAATTCAGAACATATCGAATTATACATTTTAAGAAGCTTGTCCATTACGTTTTCCTATCCCTTCATTTCTGACTATTTGCAGCCTGTTTCAAAAGTACACTGAAACTAAAGCAGCTTAGGTAACATATTATTTATCTGGTTAATCTATAATTCCTGGCCTTCCACCAACACATAATTTAATAAAAGTGGCAAGGAAATCAAATACCTGAACTAGAATGTCAATGACTGGAATAACTGAGAGTAGTCCCCTGTCATTGACATTCCCAACCACCAGATCTAGAAGTTTAGCAATGTTAGACGCATGCAAACTGAGAAACTCCCTTCCACCCAAAATAACATAGTCTTCAATGATATTGGTAGCAACCTACATGTCATGAAACATCAGCACAAAAAAAAATCCAGAACTGAAAATATTAGTTCTGCTAAATCTCTCCTCAACCTTCAAGTGATCAAAACTTCTTTCCAAAATTTCCACAAGACATGGGAAATACCCCAACAATTCTGGTACCATAGAAGGCGCATTAATAAGTGTTGCTTCCCATAACTGCATGATAAACTGGCTGGAATTAGGGCACAGTTCTAATATGAAATGAAACTAATCAATTAAATCGGCCACATATAGAACATGCCTGCATGCAGTCCTCTAGAAGTTCATCAGGGCTGGTTATGTTAATTCCACTTCGCAAAATCGGCAATAACATGCCGTACGATTTAGGCGACTGATAACCGAGAGCAACTACAAAATTCTTCAATGCAGTAAGAAGTTGAATCTGCAAGATGCTTTCACTAGAAGATTCTTCCCATGCCTAATAAAGGAACAGCTCTAATCAGCAAAAAAGAAAGAACAGTAAATCACGCAGATACAGTTTAATGGGAAACAAAAGCACATGGAATTCATTAAGAATCCTACTCTTACATGCAATTCTATCAACAAATTTTCCTCAGAAACTACACAAAATGAAAGTAAGGAGAATAGAGGCAATTAAGTTTGGGTCTCCAAATGGGAAGCTTGAGAAACAGCATAAAGTGACAGCATAGAATCTACCATCTAATGAAAAAGCTTTACTAAAAATTCCCGAGCTTTCTCCAGTTCTCCAACTTCTAGATGAAATTTCAGGAAGGCGGAATCTTACAGAGATTGTACTCTGGAATGGTAATGGTAATGGTAATAAAATAAAACTTCAACTGCACATAAGTCATCACACCTAAGTTAACACATCAATAAGGAGAAGCGGAAAAAGAAAACCATAAGGATACCTTCTGGAAAAATAGCATCAACTTGTTTGCATATGGTGTAACTTCAGTAACACGTGCTATCAGAACAGAGATAGTATTCAGAACTTGAACCTGAAAATTTTATCCAAAAAAGAAAACATTGTGAGCAGAGAACTTAAAAACGACTGAAATATATAGAAGATTGAAAACTAAAGACAGATTGAAAGAACACATCATAAGTTGAAAAAAAGATTTCCATGATATTAAAAAAAGTGATAGGGACAAATCTTGTTTCTAGTGTTACCTTGCTCAGAAAAAATCCTGTTTCTTTCTCTTCTCCTTTTTCCCCATTTTCTAACAACTATAACATGGGCTTTTTTTTCAGAGAGCAAAGAAAAAGAACAGGGGAAGAGATAACTTTGAAATGGATCCTCTCTCTAACCTTCCCCCTCAAATATTTGTGAGCATCCTCAACAATGTTACAATTCATTCAAGCATCAACCAATAACACCCACAATATGTTAAAAAATTACCTTATGCATGTGCATGTAACCACTGAATCGGTACTGCTTGTCCTTAACTGAGAGCTATTGCAAAGGTCTAGGGAACTAAAGATACCAGAAATCGGATACAGCAATATTACAAAAAAGAAAAGATGAGTGAATAAATGACTCTCCCTCTGTCCCAATTTATGTGATGTAGTTTGACTTGGCACGAAGTTTAAGAAATATGGGAAGACTTTGCGATGTTCCAAAACTACCGTTAAAATAAATGAATTTTTAAATAGAAGAGTACACTTTCGTAAACTTTTTGCCAAATAAGGAAATGTCTCATTCTTTTTGGGACTGAGTAAAAAGGAAAGTGTGTCATCTAAATAGGGACAGGGGGGAATAATTAAATAGTGAAGGGTAGAGGGCAGGTCCATTATCCATCGAGTTTCAAACTGTGAACCAGTGGCCCTTGGTTTTCTTGGTTATCAAAACCTTTGTTGCTCGGACTCTTCAAATATGTCAACGGATGCGTGTTGGATCCAACATGGGTGCACCAACATTTTTAAAGAGTCCGAGCAATATAGACAAAAACAAATAAACAAATAAACAAATAAATAAATGAGAATTAAATAGGCCATTTAAAGTTAGAAAGAACACCAGCTGATTCTACCTTTGAGTCAAATTCCTGTACTTCATCCACCACTTTGAAACTCAGATCCCAACAAACTGGAAGAAGATCTAAGAACTCATTTTCATTAAAAGTTGCATCTTCAATATGAAAATACAAGGACCGGCATGCTGTCAGCTAAAAGAAGAGACAAAGTAGCTTCAGTATAACACAAAGTGAATGAATAGAAACTTGAAATTCAGAAAATTCTGATAGATGTACAGCTTAATTCAGAAGGTAGTTGTTTTATATAAAATGTGGCATACCCTTACACACAAGTCATTCTCCTGAAGTAATCTGATTAGAGCACAATAAACTGCTCTTCTGGTGTCATCTTTAATCTGATGTGAAAACACAGTTAGACAAAAGTAAACACGATTGCTGGCTCCATAAATCTATGGGTTGAAGGCACATAACTATCATAATAACAACCTACAACTGTCAGTGAAACAATAGCATATAAACAGTAATAAAGCAAAGACAACAACAACTCAAGCTCAATTCCAAAACAAGTATACGAACCCCCCCCCCACGTCTTCATTTAAGCTCATTCCATCATCGTCATACTAAATAAAATAAGTGTGTGTGTGTGTGTGTTTAGAAACACAGAAACAGTCAAAGATTTCCATTTATATATACAGATACAACACTCCCTATATCTCAATTTATGTGGCACCATTTGACTTGGCACAAAGTTTTTGAAACAGAAATTTGTGGTCTAAAACAAGCCTTAGATATTTGTGTGGCTATAAATCATTTCATTAAGGATAAAAGAGGAATTTAAAGTTAAATTCTTTCTAATAATAGAAAAATGATATTCTTTTTGGAATAGACTAAAAAGGAAAGTTTGCCACATAACTTGGGACAGAGGAAGTACTATTTTAGATTACTATGAACCAACAAGAATTCACCATATTAAACATTTTTCTTACAAGAACTGCTGATTGAAGAACGAAGATTGCATGAACATTTCATAGAATACTCCTCTCTTTCTAAATTCCCATAGATTACACCTTATATATTGGTAATCCGAAACCAATTTTATAAATAACTTATGCTTGACTTCTATGACAAGAAAACAAAACTTAACTTGAAGTTAAGTGGAAGTTTGTATAAATGAGAGGAACAGCATATATACATGCTATAAACTTGTTCAATTAAAAGTATGTTATATTTCCACTAGGGAAGACACTTGTTAGGGTCTTTTAGAGTTTAGACCACTGACAAACTCTCATTAAAGGAATGCTGAACTTGTTTTACTAAAAAATCATTCCTGAATAATTGGGTTTTTTTCCTGTATCTCTATAATGACAAAGGAGAACTGGAATTAGTTGCTCTCGTCCTTAATGGCTACTGTTGCAGTTTTAGATTGGTAAAAGGAACGAAAAGCATCAGTTTGGCCTATTCAAGAGCATATAATATGGGACAACCAAGAGTTATGAGAAGTTCGTAAAAGACACTTCAAACCACAAATATTAATCAACTTAATATCACTGCAATGTTGGTGCTCAAGGAGATTCATCTATTCTCACTCTCAATCCAGGAGAAGGGAAGTCATAGACTTATATAGTAGGGTTAAAGAGAAGTTGCAGAAGGGGGAGTTATACAACCCAAAAGAAGCAAAGAGAAAAGTTCCATTCCCTTGTTTGGTTAGGAAGTAAAATGGATGGTGAGTAACCCTCGCATATCAGTCCTTTAACCCATTCCAAATTTGACAGAAATGGGGAAACAGACATTTATTACTTTCCATCTCCACTTCTTAATTCGAACACTGCATAAAGTAATTTCCAGGAAATTCTCTTTTTTGTTAGCTGCAGTCTAAATACCTCTGAAACCCATTGTCCAAGGATTAGTGCTACTTTTCTGTGGATTATCCGCATATTGGGATGATCATTTGTCAACTCCAATGATAATGCTCCATTGAACCTGCACAACATGTTAAGAGATTGTGAAGACGCATATTTATATCCCCAATACAATACGACTTTCAATTTTGCAAACCCCAACAAAATGACTAAGTAATATTTTTAAAAATGATGAGTTCATATAATAGAGTGGTCTCTAAAGGATGAGTTTCACTGTCTTGGGCAATGGGAGAACAAACCATTCAATCTATGGCACCTGAATATATTTTAAGACCAAGAGGAAAAAAGTTACTAATAAATCATGATGTTGAGAAAAATGTAGTTGACTTTATCCATTCCCTTCATGTGAATAACACAGCAAGGCAAAGCCACCTATCATTTGCTATTTCTTTTATTCTGTTTTGCTAATGTGGTTCCTCATGTTTTATCACCTTGTTTCAGATGCCGTTGCTAAGATAATAAGAGGATAGAAAATTCCAGAACATGTCTAAGGGGTCAGAGCTATTTGATCCAGCAATATTTCAAGCATGAAAAGCACATACCAATCCTTGAAACTCAGATAGTTCGAGAGCTCATAGTAAATGTATGCGGCAGCACCATAAGCAGCATCCTTAAGAAGCAGTGCTGGAGTTATTTCATTAACTGCAGAAGGGCAACCACTCATAGCCTCTTGCAGAATAGAGACAACAACAGGTCCTAGTAGCTGAAAATCACATAACAAGTTCATGCCCAGACTAATGCAATGTGTTAAGGTCATAGAACAACACATGGAATAGGGTCAACATACTTGACTATGATTTTCAAACAAGACAATATATAGAGCTTCAGCACATGGCCTTAGTTTCTCTGACCATAGCACTGAATCCTGCTCATGATAGAAAGACTCTGGGTTCTGGTGCCATTCCTCCATATCACTTGCAGTCAGAACAAAGTACCTACATTTGGAGAAATTGGAAGAATAAGGAGACAGGTCTCAATAATATATTATACAAAAAAGGATCAAAATTCCCTTAAACTATGTAAAATTGTACAAAAATGCCCTTTGTTAATAGTTTGATCCAAAAATGTCCCTTCCATTGATATTTTGGTCCAAAAATGCCCCGTTTGTTGCTTTTGGGTCAAAATGTCCCTTTTTCCTAATAATCATATTGTTTCTTTTCTTTTTTATTTTTTTTTATGACAAGGGAAACCCGCAGCCACTACCCTTTGGGTGCGCACAGGGTAAAACCCCCGCTCCTATGCTATAGCTCGCAAACCACATAGGAGAGGTAACCTGCACTAGGCAAGCCTGGTGCGACGAGCTCGACCCAGAAGGCAAACCTCTTGCTTTCACTGGCAAGGGGTTTCGAACTTGAGATCTCCAACAGTATTCCAGTTTTCCTTGGACTTTGATTTTGCTCCTAAAGGCATACCCAAGTACACTGTTGGCAGGCTACCAATCCCTCCTCCCCGAATTGCATTTAGGGATTTTCATGGTTGTGACCTCATTGATAGGATATAGAAAGCTCTTTCTCTGGTTGATGTGCAGTCCAGACATCCCTTCAAAGAGAACCAATATCACCCTCAGAATTTTGATTTGTTCATCATCTGCATCACCAAAAATTAGGGTATCATCTGCATACTGCAAATGAGTTACCTCCAAATCATTTGTTTAATCTAAACGGATCTCCCCAAATTATTTAATGTTGGAAATGGATCTTCCAGCACTAGAATTCACTAAAAGAACAACTACCCTTTATTGCACCTTCTCCACCTCCATCAAACCCTACTCGCACCTTAAAAAAGTATAACTACCCTTTATTGCACCTTCTCCACCTACTTCAAACCCTACTTGCACCTAATATAACCCTGCAAGTCCAAACCTGTAATGAGGAGAACATTGATTCATACTACTTGAAATTAGGGCACCAGAAAGAGCCACTCAAGTTGGACTATCTGGATTGATTGAGGATGTTATGACTATTCTATCGCAAATGGAATAGAGACGAGGACCAAAAGATCATTAAAAATTGTTAAGCTTGTTACATTTTTAATCTGGTGCTTGGGAACCTCATTCAGCAAATCAGTTGCTTCACATAAAATAGCAAGAAGAAGACCCATAAAGAGTTGGGATGTCTTACCTCCTTATCAATACATTACACAGGAGTACAACCCGGTCAGTAGGCAAAAGGGAAGTAAGAAGGCCAGCAACCGTACTAGATATGTTTTGCTTCATCTGCTCAAATGTTACTCTATTTTCATCAACCACACGTCCTGTCAAGTTTTTCTTATACTCTTTACTTTCCAAGATTGTTTTCACCATTACCATACATTGAATCATGAATTGCTCAAAGGACATAATATGTGGTTCAGGATCCAAAATCTTGCTTAAACAGAATTCCATGATAAGTGGAAGGACACATTTATCCCCGAATGAATAAGGATGTCGCTGCTGGATGGCGACTAAAATCTTCATTAACTTTGTACAAGCCCTTTTTAATAAATCCCAAAATTTAGGTTGATGGTCCTGGATAGATGAATCTGCAAATTTAAGGAGTGATCAGTATATTAGTTCAGAAGGAATATAAAAAACATTTTCCCTTTTCTTGTTAGGCAGCATCAAAGCAACAGAGAGGAAATAGGAATCAAGCCCCAACCCACATTTTCCTTTTACTTCCTCTCTGTTTATTATCAACCAAACAAAAGGGAGAACAAAAAATTGTGCATTTCCTCCTCTCTACCTTTTCATTTCTACTTTCTTTTCATCATCTTCCTTTCCTAGTATCCAAGAAAACATGAATTTGGGTTTCCACTATATACTGTTGAGGGAAGAAAAGTATCTTGCTAAACAACATTCATAAGTGTAAGTTACCAATAATCTAACAAAAATTGCACTAGTATTTTAAGGAGTCTCAAGCATCTTGAAAACTTGTCGTTAGAGCTTCAATGATTCACTTGTCAGATGTGACACTTTGGCATATCAAGGCACAATCAATACTAGCCCTTTTATTAAGTTACTCACTTAGAGGATGCATGCTGACATTTATAAAGGTTAGTAGGCAAAAACTTTTTTAGCCATAAAACTGAGTGTGTGTATGTCACATGCCCGGTTAGTAAGGCAATGATGTTGTCATTTGTTGATTGATATTTTCTACTTTTAGATAAAATCAAAGCATGCCCCAAAACTGTCAGGAGAAGGTCGATATCTGAAACGAGTTGTGTTGCATTGCTTAGGTGCATTTGTCGTTGGATTGAGATTACTTTTGAAGTCCACGGTTGAAGCCAATGCAGTGGATTGAAATATGCCTTTTAAGTCCTTGAATAAACTGACTCTGAAATAGCATTTCAAATGCATTTTCTCCAGATGGCACTGGGGAGAAAGAACAAGACCCAAACCAAGTAATTCTTTCACTTGTCATGTAATACTCTGAAAGTCAGCAAAGGGGCTCCCAAGAAGACACTGGCATCCATTAAATTGATTACCATTTTCCTATCAGAAGGTCAGCATGAAAAAAACCTATAAAATAAAATGTAACCCTAACTTTTTGCACTTTTTTATGTAAGTATACAGGAGGCTCACACATACATGTGAAAATTTTGAACCTCCAGATGCCAAAAACAGGGCATGACGGACAGATTACACTGCCAGACCTGAATACTATGCTATGATGCATTAACGTTCTACTAGGAAATTGCAAGTATATTGAAACACAAATAATTCATGGAGAAAAAGTAAATATGAAGTTTAGGTAAGGATCTGAAGTTCATTCTCACAGTATGGAAGTAGTGATTGGATGGCATTCAAAAGCACTGGAGCAACCTCTTTGACATGCCGCACCTCCTTAAAATGGGGGGGGGGGGGGGGGGGGAGGGGGAG